CCCTGAGCTTGTCAGGTTTAGTATGTGGCCCCTTTTTTGTCCACACTCTACATCAGCTTTTGCATGAAATGTTCAGTGAGTATTCCTCTTTCAGCTGTCTGCCCTTTTCTTTCTTAAAATTTAGTTTTCTTCACATTTCCTACATCATTTGGAGTTTTCACTACACAAAATAGCACTTTATGATAGACTATTTTGTAAGAACCCATGTCATCTTACATGCATTTGTTTCGTCCTCTAGATTAATGTATGTTTCCAGAAAAACAAACCTTTCCTCTATATTCTGTTCTGTTTCTAATTTAATGCTCACCATTTGTTGTGTGATTGGGTCTGCCATTCTCATTTGGTTACCTTTGCTTCAAAATTTGTAGTTGTTAAGTTCTCCCATAGATCAAACTGGATCAATTTATCTCACTATTATAATTTGTTTTGTCACATCTTGATTCAATGAGTTGATGCCTTAAATTTCTAGCCTGGTTATAGTATTTCAAATCTAATAGTGTCGTGACATAACACCTAACACATTCTATTAGGAACATGTGTTTTTTACATTGTTTTTCACATTAATACTGTAAACATAAGAAATGCCCAAACCTGTAGAGAATTTTTATATGAGTTTATTTGAGCCAAACTGATGACAAATACTAGGGAGCAAGATCTCAAATGCTCCACAGAATAAATTTTGCAGCTTCTTTTATGCATGTGAAATTAAGGAGGGATTACATGAAGGTGGGAGAAAGCAAGGCAGGGATTAGATTATAGGATAGTTAATAAGATTATGTGCTCTCTTGAGGGTGGTTACTGCTTTTTTCAAAGGTATGTTAAGCTGAATGCACAGAAGCAATGGACAAGCCTTGCTTAAGGCAAAGATAAACATTTTACTAAAAAATTATATGCCTGGGGTGTGACTACCCACCAGGATTTGCCTTGTTAGGAATTTATGGTCAGATCACCCTGACCTTACTTTTCATAGAACGCTGTTTTTCTCCGACTACATTGCAATAAATATTAAGTATCTACACTTAAGCGCCAAGCATGCTGGGTTGTAAAATAAAGGGTGCATTTGGTTATAGCAAGGAATCACAATCAGAAACTAGTTCCACTACTTACTTTTATTAACACTTGTACTTCAAAGTAGTTTTGCAGTGATTGCTGAGAATGGCTTTCTCATGTTGGCCTGTCTCTGGATTAGATTCCTACCCCACTTTTCTCCTCAGGTCCTCTTCAGCTCTGACTAGACTCAGTATCCCATCTCCTAGCAGAAGGATGAGTGGCAACTGACTTACAAGACATGAAAAAGCTAACTCTCAAACCGTTCTGAAAACCCGAGAAACAAATGTTTGCAACGCAGAGCCTTCAAAAGGCTAAGGAATTTGCAAAGCAAGGTACTTCTGGAAGTGGGAGTGAAGAGGATAATATTGAAAGTTCATTTCAGAGGCAGTTAGACCTCCAGATTCCCTCCCCTAGGCCATACAAATGGAACATTTGCACTTCCACACTTTGTCAGAAATAGATTTATTCTTGGGGAAGGTAGAAGAGAGCATGTCTGAACCAGGGGACTCCAGGCATAGTGCGGTGATTCCTGATAAGGGAGAGAGAGAGAGAGAGAGAGAGAGAGAGAGAGAGAGAGAGAGAGAGAGAGAGAGTTTGAGTGAGTGAGTGAGATTGAGTGAAAGCTTACACAGTAAGTGTTGGCATCTCCAGGACTGCCCCTCAGTTTGGCTCTGAGAATTCAGGCAGTCAAGCTTATAACAACTCGTTTGTGTGATCCTAAGCAAATCACTCTATTCAATTGAACTTTCCCTGAGCTGAATTTTCTCCTGTGAAAAAGGAAGATAAAATTATTCTACAAGATTGAGTTAAGGTATATGAGAGAAGCATTTTCTGGACCTTAAGGACCAGTGCAGATATGATATAGCATTATCATCATCATTGTTATTATCTCCATCACTATCTTGCAATTTACAAAGTTTTTAAATGAGACAGCATAGGGACTTTGGACAGGGGCGGAGGAATGCAGGATGGCCAGGAGGAACACCAGATTAGCTGACCACAAGAATGCAATCAACCTCACCCCGTCTTCCACAAAATTGCATTCGTAGCTGATTATTATCTCCCTTCTAACCACTCACTCCCTTGCAGATGCGGAAACCACTGTTCTACATGCGCAGTTGATCAAGGTTTGACCACTAGACAACCTTCCTGGGGTGGCGATAATGAGCAGTGCGCCCTCTTGCCCCCACAACAGAGGCGGGAACATAGTTACCAGGTAACATGGCTGGTGAAGAAAGCCTGCTTTTTCGAGCGAGCCCGTGTTGTCCCCCAGCCAAGCAGAGCCAGCTCCCCTGCCAGTTCTGAGGACCTTCCTTTCCTCTGTGCTGCCTCCCTTGTGCTCGAGGGTAAGCTTAATAAAATTTGGACATTTTTCTGGGATTTACTCTCAATTTCTACTTTGGGAAACCCGAAAACTCCAACACTGGTAACATTAAGAAGGATGATATAAAATAAAGAACAGTGGTACGTAATACTAGCGGTGCACCAATGTTAGTTCCCCTCTATTTCCTGAGCACTTGGAAGGAGCCTGCTTCCTTTGCAATTGGGGAAGCCATGTGACTCTTTCTGGAGCAGGTGGGAGAAGCCAACATATTTAATTGATGGTGCTTGTTTTTTTCCTTCCTCATCTTGGTAAAGTGACTCAAGAAGCCTTTTGCTGCTGTCCCAAGACAAAGCTTCTATCAGCTGGACCCCTAAGTACTTGTGTGGAGCAGATAGTTACCTGCCAACTCTGTGGGACTTGTAGTGTGAGTGAGACTTTTGTTGTTGTTGTTGTTGTTGTGTTGACTCACTGATATTTGGGATTGTTTGTTACTGCAGCATAACGTAGCCTAACATGACTAACACACTGTGATGGACCAAAGGATAAAGAAATCCTACATTTAGCTGTGGCCTAACTACCTATATACCCTTGAGTGAGTGAACTCAAGTATACCATCTCTAAAGTCCTTTTAGCTCTGAAAACTCTGATGTCACAATAGCACAAAGCAATCCCATGCAAGTTACAAACCAGTATTATCTTTTGTTTAAGAGGTAAAATAAAGTCCCAGCTATATCAAACCACTTTAAAGAATGAATAAAGCTAGAATAACTTTTAGAATCAAGACAATATTTTAAAATTCTTTTATACACACACCTGCCTTTTAAAGAGAGTGTGTTGAACATAGCTGCATTAAACAAATTGATGATTCATGGTAATTATTATGAACCTTAGTTATTTTACAGCGATGTCCTCAGGGCCAGTGATGAGTGTAGGCCTATTTGCTCCTCCCAATGGCTTAAATCTCCCATGGGATTTCATTTTTTTGTTTTGGATTTTTTGTTTTTCTATGCTTTTGTGCCAACTTCATTGCTGTCAATATACTGATCATCTTCAGAAGCCCATCTCCCCACTTTTATTGACTGTAGAGATAGAAAGCAGATTTCCAAACTCTGTTAGAATTATACATAATGGTTAAGATATAGAGAGTCTGTGTAAGAGGTCAAGAAACTTTCCTTGAGTAAAGCAAACAGGTTTTAGTCATGAACTTTGTAGCTTCTACGGGTACATATCTTTTTGCTTAATTTCTTATTTTCATGAATGTTGTACAAAGGCTAATTTCTCTGGTAACTGGGCTCTAGTTAGACAGCGTGCTAATGTATTTGATTCTCTACAGCAGCCCGGCAACATAGATTCATAATTAAGTTGCTAATATGTACCTGACCACTTTAGAAATATTTCTTAGGTCATTGTCAAAAGTAACATTGTGGGAAGAGCTGAAACCATTTGTATCTAATGACCGTTTTGTGAGACAATATAGTATAATTGATTGATAAATTAAGTGTGTAGGCTCTGGAGCAAGATTGTGCTGAGAACCCAGTTTTACCCCTTGCCAACTGTGTGAACTTGGACAAGTAAGTCAAACTCTTGGTATCTGCATTTTCTCATTTTTAAATTTTGGGTAATCAGCTAAATGAGTAACGTATTTAAATGCTTAGAAAAGTTCCTGGCACATAGTTAGCATTCAATAAATAACATTAGAGTTGTAATAATTATTTTTCTCAGTGTTTTTATTATATTTATTGTATTGGGAGAGAAACAGAACCAATAAGATATATAGAAAGATTTATTATGAGAGATTGGCTCATGTGATAATGAAGGCTGAGAAGTTCCACAATCTGCTATCTGCCAGCTGGAGGCCCAGGAAATTCACCCTTCCTCCACCTTTTTGTTTTATACAGTCCCTCACCAAATTGGATGGTGCCACCCACATTGGGCACCTTCTTTATTCAATTTACCCATTCAAATGCTAATCTCTTCTGGAAATAAACTCACAGAAACACCCAGAAAATATTTTACCAGCTACCTGGGCATCACTTCGCCCAGTGAAGTTGACATATAAAGTTAACCATCACGTGTACTATTATTGATAGGATAACAAGAGCAGCAAAACTATAATGGCATCTTCTAATTAATTTTTGAATTTTCCATTGGTCACTGTGTTTAGTCAGCATTCTCCAGAGAAATAGAACCGATAGGATGATTTTAGATTGATAGATGGATAGATTTATTTTAAGGAATTGGCTCTGATGATTATGGAGCTGGTGAGTCCAAAATCTGCAGGGTGGGTGGGCAGGCTGGAGACCGAGGGGAGAGCTGACTGTGCAGTTCTAATCTGAAGGTCATCAGGCTGAAGACCCAGGAGAGAGCCAAAGTTGCAGTTCAAGTCTAAAGGCCGTCTGCTGCACAATTCCCTCTTGCTTGGGTGAGGACAGCCTTTACTTCTTAATCAGCACCTTCATTATAGCACAACCAATGAATTACAGTCATATATTGCATAATGATGCTCATATATGAAGGTGGTCCCATAAGATTATAATGGAGCTAAAAAATTCCTATTGCCTAGTGGCATTGTAGCTATTGTAATACCATACCACAAATGCTGGAAAAATCAATGGCTGTAGTTGAGATGGCAAACAACTTGAACCTGAATGTGGGTGAGGATGACATTGAGGAGCCCTTAGAGATGGTTCCTGAGGAGATGACTAATGAGGAATTCTTGGAACTGGAACAAGAATGCATAGCTGAAGAAGAGGCAAGAGAAAAAGAAACTGTAGGAAGATAAAAAAGAATCCTCAAGGAAAATTCACAGTGAAGGGTTTAGCAGAAACATTTGCAAACCTCAGCAAGCTCCTTAAGAAGTTTAAAAACATAGATCCCAATGCTGAAAGATTTTCAGTAATAGAGAGGAATGTTCATGGTGCATTATCTGCTTATAAGCACACCAATGATGCAAAAAAGATGCAAACTGGGGCCGGCCGAGTGGCTCAGTTGGTTAAGAGCATGAGCTCTGAGCAACAGGGTCGCTGGTTGGATTCCCACATGGGCCAGTGAGCTGCGACCGAGCTGAGCTGCCCTGAGCTGCTGATGGGCAGCCAATGGCTTAGTGGTTAGAGCGTGTGCTCTTAGTAACAAGGTTTCCAGTTCGACTTCCACATGGGATGGTGGCCTATGCCCACCCACAACTAAGATTGAACACGGCACCTTGAGCTGAGCGGCCGTGAGCTGCCGACAGGTGGCCGGATGGCGACTGGACTTGGAGCTGAGCTAGATGCACCCTCCACAACTAAGACTGAAGGACAACAACTTGGCTGTTCCCCTTCCCCAATTCCCCAATACTGTTCCCCTTCCCCAATTTCCCCAATTAAAAAAGAAAAGAAAAGAAGAAGAGAGGAGAGGAGAGGAGAGGAGAGGAGAGGAGAGGAGAGGAGAGAAACAAACCAAGCAAACCACCATGGACAGATTTCTGAAAAGAGTGGCACTTCCTCAAGAAGAGCCTCAGGCTGGTCCTTCAGAAGGTGCTCTGGAAGAAGGCATAGTTGTCATAGGAGCAGATAGCTCTGTGCGTGTTATGCCCCCTGAAGACCTTCCAGTGGGACGGGATGCTAAAGACAGTGATATTGATGGTCGTGACCTTGTGTAGGTCGAAACCAGTGTGTGTGTTCATGTCTTAGTTTTTAACAAAAATTTTAAATGTAAAAAAGAAAAAAATTAATAGAAAAAAGTTTATAGAATAAGGACATAAAGAAAATATTTTTGCACAGCTGTACAATGTGTTTGTTTTAAGCTGTTATTACAAAGGAGTCAAAAAGTTATAAAAAGATTATAAAGTAAAAATGTTACACTAAGCTAAGGTCAACTTATTATTGAAGAAAGAAAACATTTCTTTATAAACTTAGTGTAACCTGAGTGTACAGTGTCCATAAAGTCTCCAGCAGTGAACAGTCATGTCCCAGGCCTTCACATTCCCTCACTGCTCACTTACTGACTCACCCAGAGCAATTTCCAGTCCTGCAAGCTCCATTCATGGTAAGTGCCCTTTACAGGTGTACCATATTTTATCTTTTATACTGTATTTTACTGTACCTTTTCTATGTTTAGATATGGTTAGATACACAAATACTTACCTTTATGTTACAATTGTCCACAGCACTCAGTATAGTAACGTGCTGTACAGGTTTGTAGCCTAGGAGCAATAGGCTTTACCATAGAGCCTGGGTGTGTGGTAGGCTAGACTATCTAGGCTTGTGTAAGTGCACGCTATGGTATTTGCACAGTGATGAAGTCACCTAAAGATGCTTTTTTCAGAAAATGTCCCAGGTGTTAAAGGACTGTATAGCATTTAACTGATTGGATGAGGCCCAGCCACATTACGGAGGGTAATCTGCTTTACTCAAAATTCACCAATTTAAACGTTAATCTGATCCAAAACATGCCCACAGAAACATCCAGGATAATGTTTGCCCACATATCTTAGCACGATGGTCCTGCCTAGTTGACACATAAAATTAACCATCACAACACACATAACTTTTCCTGACTGGACCAATCTCTTCAACTGGTGCCTTGAACCTACATCCAGAATGTCCTGATGGGAAATTCTCACTTGCAAACCTTTCTCTCACCTCGGTTTCATTGATGATGGATGATTCCTTCTTCTTCTTCATAAAGAATACGGCAGCAGAGCATTAATGTCTCTTTAGCCTAAAATAGCTGCTTCTCCTCTGGAAGGCATGGTTTCCTGAAGCATCAGGCATCAGTAGTTTGGATTAATCTCTCAACCTCCCCTTAGAAAGCAGTCAACGGGATTTTCCGGCCTAGTTCTCTAGTGCCAACTACTGAGGGGTACGACTCTTTAGGAATAGCTCTTTTAAAGAACTTAATCATCATTACTTACATTCCACACATGATGATCCACTCTAGTCACATGACCAGACCTAGAAATTTCCCAAATTTCCCTCAGCAGCAGGCTCACAAATCTCTCAGGTGGGCTCACTTTGCGTATAGCTAAGCTCTATCATTTTCTTCACATTTTTACTAATCTCCCTCTTAAAGATCTAAATTTAGCTCCAAATAGAGAAAGTCCTTTACTACAGTATTCAAGGACATTTGGCAGTAAGATCCAAATTCCATATCGAGGTTGCTCCTGCCCAAACTCCCTATCATGCTTCTCATCTTGGTTTTCAGCTTTAGCCAAGTGACAGACACTTATTGATGGACTGTTTTTTTGTTTGTTTGTTTGTTTTATAAGAGTGGATATGTTATAGTTATCTCACTGCAGTAAATTTTAAGACATTAAAATGATCTGGTCTCAGCAGTTTTTCCATGAAGGATTTAGTAGCGTAATATTGTCCTGGCTTAGGGCCTTGCTGTCTCCTTTCCCAACCTTTAATTTAAGAACTTTGGTTATAGATGAAGCACGACATAAAACAAGTTTACATAACAGAGCCTGCACCACATAATCATAGATTATGGCTGGTGATAAAAGAAAAATAATCACTTTACATGTGATGACCCTTTAGAAAGCATTTAAATTACAAACCTAAGCTGAAGCCTCTTGGCTTTTATTATTAGACTGTAGAATTGATAGTGTCCAACTAGAATATATAACTGACTATGTTTAGAGTCAGCATTTGATCCTTAATCAAATCCTCATGCTATTTAATCTGAGATATTATCACTTTTAATAATTGGTAGGTGATATTTTCATATAATATACATTATATTATATTTATACGTGTGTGTGTTTCAGAGAAGCATTTGAAATTTAAAAATTGTACCCTAAGTCCTATTAACTTAACAAGTAAAAATTATTTTACTTTCTGAAATATTCAAATTTTGAAAAATGAAAAACTTGAAACAATATATTCCTCAACTGAGGTTTAGAAAGAAGCAACACAGTCCTTCAAGGCCTGGTTAGTATTTGTCTTGCAGTGCACTGCAGGCTGTTCTCACTTTATAGATTATTCCTCCCAACCACCCTGAAAGGCTCATTGCCTCGTTCTTACTGGTGAGAAAAGAGAGGCTCAGAGATGCTTGCCCAATGTTCTAAAGCAAGTAAGTTTCAGAGAGCTGCTTGTTTGTTTTAATGTTTACTCCAGAGTTCATGAGCTTTCCACTAAAAACCATCAATGAATTCAACATATGATACAAAAGGCCTGGATTGACTCTGACAAGTGCTTTGACAGTGCCAACCCCAGTTCTTACAGGTGAGAATATGATCTGAAATGAACAATCTTAGAAGGCAGAACACCTGAGAGATAAATGTAGGTAACTGACAAGGAGAGAAGTGTTATGGAGTTAACAGTTTCAAAAACAATTATCATCACAACGTGGTCTCCCAGACATTGAAATCTGAAACTTCTGGATATGCTATAGCAAGGTTTCAAACAAAGAGGTTTTGTTCAGTACCTGTTTTTGTGGGATGGCGTAACTACGCAGTCCATATCATCAACAAATGCTGCACAGAGCTTACCAATGACCCATGAAATCTACAGTGAGGTCTCCCTCCTCAGTTTCAAACTATTTGTTTAGAATTGCACTAGTAAAATAGCCAATGGCTTTTCACAGTCTTTCATTATCTTGGCCTGGTTCTAAACAGATCAATTTTTTATTTTGACTTGGAATTTTAGTCTTTATATTTAAAATTTTATATCCATTGTGGTAAAAAAAATCACTTAAGAAAATTTATTACAGATATATACATTTCTTTCTTAAAACACGTTTTTACTACATAATACAATTTTCTCAAGTAGGCTTAGAAGTTAGATTTTAAAAATAAAAACCTCCATAGAGTAAATGTAGCTCTTTTTCTCCTCTGTTTATTTCTCCAAAGGAAAACAAGCCTTCAGAGAAGATTATTTTGGTTAGTTATGATTTTTGTTTGGCATTTGGGGCTTTTCGTCTTTGTGTTTAAATACAGGAGTGGTGATAATTACTTCAGTGATTTTCTTTTTCCATTTTGGGCTTCTAATATTAAAATAGCTTCTTTTTCACATAGTTATTGTAAGGCAGATAAGAATTTTGTCTTCCCGTAGACAATATATTGAAGTGGAAATGTAGTACACTTAGTTGTAAGACCAATATTAATGACATGTTAGTGATATAAGAATAGGTATCTCCTATCAAGTGTCAATGAGTAAGTAACACATAATTTAAAATAAAGGATGAGCAAGTTTTACGATTAAGAAATTTCTCTTATTATTGCGGAAACTTAGTAAAAATGAATTCCACACTGCACGGTATAGCTTAAAATCTAACACCTTAGTTCTGACCTTAGTTCATGTTAAATAGGTATCTAGGCCAGTTTAATCTCTGCAAAGAAATCTTTTGTCCACGAACGCCTATGACTGTGGTCAAGTGGCAGAAATTAGCAATTCATCAGGAGGCCTGCTTCCTTCTTATTGTATGGTATTGCCCTGAGAGCTCTGGTTCCATGATGTCGTGGGCATCGTTACTAGAAGGGTGCACTATTTTTTATCCTCCTTGAGAGGCACCTTTAGCATAAGGCAGAAGGCCACGAAAGCGAGGGCCGAAGAGCCACGGATATTGTAGAAAGAAAGCAGCTCAGGAATCCACGCCCCCCAAGTGCGCAAGCCTCACGGGAAGTTGAGCGCAGAGCTTTAAAAGAGAAAGTAAGGACAGCTGGGGCGTGGCGGATGCTGCAGATTATGTACAGGGGTTCAGCTTTCTGGGGACATTTCAGCCGCTGTCTGGCTGGTGGACGTGCAGGGAAGAGAGCGCCTTGTCGAGAAGCCCTGGGTGGGGCAGGCAGTGGAAGCCTCACCCGGGACTCCAGAGTCTGCCCAGCGGTCGCCTCCCACTGGGCAGCGCAGCGAGCCCACGGATTCCCGCGCCCCGCTGGTTTCCTAGGAGTCGTCATGGCAACGGACGCTGGCCTCGGGACTCCGACTTCTTCCAGCCCAAATCTCCACAGAAGGTGCTCGGCCCCGCGGCCTTGTCCGGAGCCCGATGGAGAGCTCAGACGTCAAGCTCCAGAGCAAGAAGTGCCGGGAGATCCTCGAGAATCTCGAGTCCGCTATTGAACAATTCCAGATCTGCCCCAGGTGACGGCGCGAGCTGCAGCGCCCCTCGCGGCGTCGCTTCCCTTCCCGCTGGGTCCCGCCCGCGGCGCCCTGTGCCCCTTGCCTGTGCCACCCCACCCGGCCGAGCTCCACCGCTTTCCCGCCCCGCGCTCCAGGTCACAGAGCTGCTGTTTTGATTTCTTAAGTGTGTTACTGTACCCTGAGCTCGGACCCTGAAGCCAGACTGCCTGGGTTCAAATCCTGACGACCCTCTTACAGGGCCCATGCGTTGGGCAAGTTACTTAACTTCCCTGTGTCTCAGTTACCGCACTTGAAAACAGCCATGATGATGATGATGAATAGTGCCTACTTCATAGTGAATATTTAAGGAGTTATTCTGGTTAACATGTTTAGAAGAGTGACATACATTCATATACAGTACATGGTACCATTTGTTCCTCCTTGATCCTTTTTTACCTTTCTTTATCTCCTCTGGCACCGTTTTATTTGGATAATGTAGACCTGCTGTTTCTCAAAAAAANGTGTCTCAGTTACCGCACTTGAAAACAGCCATGATGATGATGATTAGTGCCTACTTCATAGTGAATATTTAAGGAGTTATTCTGGTTAACATGTTTAGAAGAGTGACATACATTCATATATAGTACATGGTACCATTTGTTCCTCCTTGATCCTTTTTTACCTTTCTTTATCTCCTCTGGCACCGTTTTATTTGGATAATGTAGACCTGCTGTTTCTCAAAAAAATATTTTTTTCTTTTCAAAAACCGTTTTAAAATCGGTAGGTGGCCAGCACTAGGTTAGCCTCTCTGCGAGCACTTTGCGGTTCCCTGAGACAAGGGGCCTCACGGTGCCAGGTGGCCTGTGTAGAGGCAAGTCTCTGTCACTGAGGCAGCTCCAGAGAGAGAAGGAACCACAGCTGTACGGCCCAGCGGTAGGGACTGACCCAGTGAGACTGTGCTGCTGACTGAGCTCCGCCTCCCCAGCTTAACTGTATTAAGTGGTGCGCTTGTTAAAATGAATCAGGGTACACACAGCACCTTGTAAGGCACGTCTTGGCAGGAACGCGGTAAGCACCATAGGCACACGGTGTCTAACCTGTTCTAGTTGTTTACTGATAGGAATGACTTCATGCCCTGGATTCCTTGGCATTCTGTGGTGGGTGGTTAGTTCTCCAACAAAACACGCCCGCTGGGCTCAGTGAGCAGACCGACAGTGCCAGAGGCTCAGTGAGTACATGGTACCTGAACAAAGGAACCGCTGATGCCCATGTTCATTTCTCTTCGCCCACAGTCCTGGGGGGACTCTGTTGGTGCTGTGGTAGGCGTGTTTGCATGGGAGAGGCTGGACTACTGACTGCAATCCTAGGGTTCAGGCAGAGTTAGGCATTGGGGAGGCGGCAGTCTACCCCATGGACAAAAGCCTCACCTTTGTGAAGGTTACATTCCAGGCAGGAAACCAATGACAAACAAGCAAACTATATAATAAATAAGTTAGATAGTAGTTAAGTGCTAAAGAAAAAACAGAGCAGGAGGGAGCAGAGGGAATCATGTGTGGGGTGTAACTTTAGATACCGTGATCAAGGAAGGCTTAGCCAAGATGACACTGGGGTGAAGACTGCTGGCTTGAGAGGGAGCCATGCGGTAGCCATATCAGGGGACAGAGAGTGTTCCAGGCAGAGAACA